TAACCACAAACTGTAGCCTTACTGCTCTCAATATTTGCAGCCTTCTCAACTAAAATTGCCTAGTCCACTACATATTGAACAGGGTCAAAAGCTTGACCCATAGCTGTGAATTGTCTCCACCTTCTTGCAATTACACAATAGTGAAGCATCTGCAACCTAAACTGTCCCTCACCTCCCACCACTTTCTCAAAATATATGACTCTTATGCAATCCATGTCTCTTCTTCCCAAGCAGGAGTTCATGATCTAAGGCTAGCCACAACCTGCTATAGTTCTTGTTTATTATTGTCAGCCTAGCAAAACTTGTAGGGTAAGAACGGCGATTTCTGCTCTTCAAGGACATTTCTCTACAAGGTATCTGTAAGGATCTCAAAACACTTCAAAAACATCCTTTAGTGATGACTCACAGCACCTCCTCTCATTGCTGTTCAGTGCTAAAATGGAGTCTGTGGTTTCTCCATACCTACAGTGTGCTGGCAGCAAGCTCTTCAGTGCCTGCCGCTTTTGCCTCTTCCTCATGCCTCATTCCTTGTGCCAGCTCCACCTCCGAGCAGGCTGACCCTCAGTTGTGTCCTGCTCCATGAAGCATGGATATTTTATAGACTCAACAGTTACCAGACTGATAGTACTAGTGGGCAAACTGTGAGTGATGAACATGGCAGTAACATGCAGTGGCAGGAGCAGGAATGAGCTCTGGAGTGAGGAGAGAGGAAGGAGAAGAGGATGGTGTTGGGAAGCAAAGTAACACTGAAGTAGTACTGAAACCAGTATTACCAAAGAAGACCGTCATCAGGCACTATCCCAGGTACAGAGAAGCTAAATGACACGTCTGACAGAAAGGAGTAGGTTATTGGCAGTGAAAACATAATTTTAATATATGCTAACACTTTTCTATCCCCTCTCTTAACTCTAGGCACGCTTCTGCTCTGCTGTGCTTTGAAATTGCAATGAGAAGTCAACCTGAAACTGTCTCACCCAGGTATGCTATCAACAGCTGGAAGGTAGTAAAGTTTCTGGACTTTTACTTTTTAAAGACAAAAGAAACAGCTGCATCCAAATGCTTGAGCCAGGTCTACTCTTAAAGACTGCATGCACATACACACTGAACTCGTCCATTTTCTTCCCTTCTGATCTTTTTGTCCCTGCTATCACAAGAAAATGGCACTAGTTTAGTTTAAAATGGATTAAAAAAATTAATTGATAAGTACATTTTCAAGATGCAAAGATAGGTCAGGTAACCACCCCTTAAATTTCAGTGGGCTCTTGTCGTTTAGCCTGAGCTGTTGCCCAATTCCTAAACCAGAGCAAAGCCTTGCTTACAACAGAAACTCAGTGTGTAGTGCTCCTGGCGTGCAAGGTCAGCAGGGACACTGCTCCAATCCGACCCGCCCACAGCTCACAGTGGGAAATGTCACCTTCCAGCCTTTTGTGAGATCCAAACAAGCCTGCTGTATGTGTTTGGCGTATCAGAAAATGGGAAGAGGTTAGAAGCTACATTTTTTCTTTAAGCTTTGCAACTCGTATTAAATGGCAAGGCCTAGCAATTTAGTAAGCAACTCCATGTAAATCTGCAAGTTGTTAAACTACCTTCTGGGTTATACTCTCTGATTTGGCTTCATTTATGCACTTGCTAAGCCTAGTATTCTTTCTAAGCATTCTATTGCAGAACACACTGTGATCTCCAGTCTGGTGACCTCAAAAGCTACAACTGTCCCCAGGACATTTCTGAATACCAACCATTCCCCTGTATGACACCCTCTCTGTTTCATTTCCGTCTGTTAATTCCCTTTCTCCTACACCACCTCACAACCAGCAGGGAAGGCCTTGGGATCCAGGCAGAACTGCGGCTGTCCCTCATCACATCATCTTGATTAGAGTCAGCACTGCTCTGCCTTCAGAGAAAGAGGAGATGCTGCTCACTTTTTTTCTGCTCCAGGGCTGCTGCAGACAGGTGCAGAGCTGGGGCTAGGAGTAAAGAGCACGGTTAACTTTGCAGAGCAGGAAACTAAAGCATGCAAACCAGCTATGATCTAAATGCCTCCCTTGCCTATTCCAGAGCACTGAAAAGTTAGACTGCCTTCTGCTGCTGCCACCTCTACTCCACTGGGTTCAGAGGACACAGACAGCTGCTATTTGCAGCAATGGGAATAGCAGCAAGATGCAACCCCCAGATTTTTATGCAGGGTCACCATCACTCTTCCCACTTCCTTCCCTTTTCTGTCACAGATGTAGACCTCAGTATCTGTTCCTCATACCGACAGCAGCTACATTCACTTTTGATCTGTTGCCGTAAAGCTTAATGCTGCTCTGGAGAGGTGCTGCATTTGTTTAAAAGTGCACACTATTCAGCATGAAGGTTTTTGATCTTACTGAGGGCAAGCTCCTATTTAAAGGTGAGGTTAGCTGCTGTAGCTCCTGATGGGAGAAGTGCTGCCAGCAGCCTCTGGTCGGGCACAGCAGGAGCAGGCTCACACTGAAGAAGGCTGCTCATCCCTTGCTGGCTGAACTGTGAAAGCAGCCCTGCTTCCAGGAGTCCAGTAACAAACCAGCTCAGTATTTGTTCCAGTTGGCCCCAGCACCTGACATCTGGCACAGTATGTAGCTGAATTGCCTTCAGATGCAAAACTGGCTTCTAACACAGCTGCATTATTAATTTGTTGAATGACAAGAAGAATTGCTAAGGGTGCAGGTAATAAAGGAAGCAGTATGTTTTAAAACTTAACAAAAATACTGATATGAGATTTCAATAACTTCCAGTAGGTATCTACCACAAAAGAAGCACTGTTTAAAGCAGCTCTTCAATGCCAAAATATTTAGTCTCATTATTGTAGATACTTAAGCAATCATGTCTTAGGCTGCTTTGTTTCATAGCCAAATCGATCACTGAGGATTACTGATAGAACAGTAGCAGAAGTTCTGCAAAGGAAGACATAAAAGCAAACAGCTAAAGATCTCTAGACAAAATACCCAAGCAGTGCATGGAAAAATGCTCAGAAGTGTAGACTTAGGATCATATGACACAGAAAAAGATCATCATCAAGGACACAAAAACATGGACTCACAGGTAGGAAATGCCAGGTTTAAAACTGCATATGAAACCCTTGTTCCCTGTTGGAGGAAGGACACTGTGTACGATATTCAATTGCAGAATCACAGGTTGTTTTGTCTGAGGAACCCGAAACACAGTGTGTAGGGAACTGGGGAACCTGAACTCTACAGTTACGGATAGGTGGCCTTGTACTAATAGACCATTGAGTGCTACAAATTTCATCCAGACCAAATGCAAGCACATTTCAACAATCTTTTCAGCCAAAGCTCACAAGATGGCATGAGAATGCTTTGCACTCATATAGGGGACGTACATTAGCTATGGAAAGACAAGAGTACACTTGAGTCGTCATGAAGTAATTGAAGCACAGACTGATACACAGTCTGCCAGGACAGTGTCACTTCACTTCTTCAAGAAGCCTTTGACACAGCAAAGTATGCACTATTTCAGCACAGTGCATCATGTGGCCATGATACTTTTACTCTTGTCCAAGAATTGGACATCTCATAAAATTGTAGATCAAATCTCATAAAGTTGTAGATCAAATAAACAAACATGCTTATTCTTACTGTCCTTATTCCACGCCTGTTGGCACACCTTGTACCCTGCACACAAGCTGAGTCCCACAGTGAACACACAAATGGTATTTCTTCCTGGTACTCTCAACATAGTACCATATGCAGGTCTCTGAGGTGATAGGCCAGCTTATGAAGCCAGCTCTGAACAGTGCATGTGTCCTACAGCCATGAAAACACACTTATTATCTATTGCAATCTTAATGGACATATCATCAGAAAATTCTAAGAGGTTGTGGAGAAAGGATATTAACCTTATTTTACACATACAGGATTGAGTCTTAGAAATTAAAGGCTCTAACTCTTTTTGACTTGCCAACCTAGCCAAAGGAAGTGATTTTTTTTCAGTTTTTCTCTGCTTACTACAACTAGCCAATTGCAATTTGTTATCTTTCACACAATGGAATTCCTTAAGATAAAAGCATAAGCCATTATCTTGCCTATTTATCTAGCACAGAATGCTGATCAGCAGCACTTGTCCCTCTGATGTAATTCTTTTTTGAGACAAGGATGCTGGTGGAGGCTGTCTCAAGCTGTGTCAACTCATGGTCTCAGGAACAGGTTAAACCATTGTACACCACGTGGCCAATTGGATTTTATTCCTTGTTTCTCTTCTGACTGCATGGCAAATACTTGTGAGGGCATAACATAGCTCACTTCACCATGGGAGGTGCTCCCCTGTATTTCAGCTTTAAGAAGTGAGGGGTACCATCCAGTTTCTACAAACTAGAATCAGAAGTTTAACAAATAGAGACAGAAGTTTAATCTTCTGTCTCAGATGCAGTCACGGACTAAAAGTACTCCTCTGACCTACAAGTCCTCTGTATCTATCCTTCTGACTCTCACCAAAGGAATACAAGCTCTGTCCATTCATTCAACTGGGATAATCATTAAAAAATGTCTTCAGGCATCTTTCACATCTTCTCCTCAATCCTGAGCTGAGGTCAATTGAAGAACACATCGGCCCTTTTGTCCTACCTTAGCCCACGTGTCAATTCGAAAATCCTTTTGGTCACTTTCTTTGCCAGGGAGAATCATTCCAGATTCCATACTTTCAGCCCAAGAGTGATTATTATATTTTCATACTTGTTCCAGCACTGGGATAGAGCCTCACATCTCCTCCTGGACTCCCCTGTTCTCCTGGCCTAGTTTTGACTTTCCTTCCTTCTATCTTCCCACACTGCATCATAAGCTGCACCCTTCTGTCCTTCTTCCTGGTGGCATGAGAGGTAGATCAGAAGACCACACAATTACCTTCTATTTTCCCACTTTCTGCAGCGTCTTCTGTCAATGACAGCTATGTATGATCAGCCACTCAGGCACTGTGTTGACCTCATTATGGAACTCACAGCTTATGCAGATGAGGTGTCATCACAGAGCAGTAAAGATTCTGGCTCTGACATGACTTTGCCATCTTTGAGAGCAGTCTTACTCCTTTACCTTTTGATTGAGATTAATTCTTTTCTAAATCCTTGTAGTCTCAAGCAATAGGGCAGAAAAACGTCTCTTAGCTTTACATTTTCTTTTTTCATGTTGTTTGTGCAGGCATTTTTCTCTGGATTCCCAGTGTGCTTTCCTCTTCTGTTCTGCAACCCAGATGCAGTCTTTTGTGTAACTTTATTTGGTTCCTTCACAACCTCCCGTAATGAGGGATCTTGCTGGGACAATTAGGAACTGGGTAAGTAGTTTCAATTTTTGATCTCTCTCACCCATTAGCTCTTTAGAAAAATTGGTCCGGGCTACAAACGCACAAATGATCCCCTGTCTTTTTTATTAGCTGTTCTGTGATTTCTTATAAGATCGCTACATGCAGTAAGATTTTTACCATACTGTATCAGAACTGATCACACTTTTACATAATTTAAACTTGGATATACAACCCAGAGCTTTTAGTAATAAAGTGTGCCTATCTAAATGCAACAGTTAACCTTTGAGATTTAAAGAGTTAATGTATTTTTTCCAAATTCTGATCTAATACAGAGGGTCAGCATTCCATGTGTACTTGCTAGGAGAGTGGGGGCTTCCTCTGATAAGTTCTGCAGCCTTAGGGAAAGGCTGGAACTTGGGAGATGCAGGTCCAGCTCCCTGACTTACCCAGGTTTTCAGTGCAACCTTGGGTAAACCACTAAGTACTGTCCTCATTCGGTTTTCCATGAATCACATAGGTACAATAGCAGTCTCTTTCCTCACAAGGCAGTTGGTGAAGGTATTTATAATGTAAAGCAGTGAAGTGATGATGGTGCTAAAGGACTGGGAATGACTGGTAAAAGGAGAGCAGAGGAATGCTTTGAGCCTCATCTTAAAATGACAGAAGTGAGACAGAGCCCAAAGGACATGTCATGTGTGCCTATGACTAATGTGTCTGTGCCCAGTATGGTCTGAAAAATAAATTGAAAGCTAAAGAAGAGCAATTGGCATTTTCATATTCTTTGTTATTCAGCTATCCTCTTTAGTGTTTCAGTGACATTATCTGGAAAAAAAAAAACACAAAAAAACAAAAAAAAAAAACACCACACAAAATTACCTCTTCATTCAAAATGCAGTAGAGAAGAGGTCCTTTCTTTTCACTAATTGGAACTTGTGGCAGCAGCAAAAGCAATTTTTAACTCAGATATGCCTGTTGAAGGATTTTCTTGAAAATGATCCAAGATGAATGGGCAGCCATAATGTTCTACACCTCTTCCTTCTTTCCTCTTACGTGTTTGTAATGATCTCTACTTGAGACATTACCATGAGTTATTATTAGTGAAGTATTCCTAGCAGTGTGCCAAGTATGTTAAGCATCATTCAGACATAAATATTCACTCAGCAAGGTCCATTCTTACATTTCCAACTGAGTTAATGGCATAGCAACCTCTCCTTAGAGGATCTCTCTGCTAATGAGCAAACAAACTCTCAGGAGGAGTGAGGAGTTGTAACAGTAAGACGAGGCCAACCACTTAGTCTTGGAAGCCTTTAACATAAGGGACATTAAGAAGAAAAGCTGGGCTGCAATCCTCCTTTGAACCTTGAGCTTCAGACAGCCCTTCAGCAAAGCAGTACTAATGCAGAATATGATTACAATCAATTAGTCCTAGAAAAAGTTTCACTCCCCAGATTACCATTAGTGATGCTGACACGTTCTGTCATGCAGCTGTAGGGCTTGTACTCAGTGCCACCACCTTTGGAGCCCTCTGTGGTCCCTGCTCAACCTAGGTCTTCTCCCTCTTTTCTCTTCTGTGTGCCCTTAACCTCTTCCTGATTCTTGAGATGGTCCTTTATCTTTGCCTCTTACAAAAATGCTTCCAGACAGACAGCTGATCCAATGGGTCTTGATCCAATCTTCTTTCATGGGAACTGCATGTTCCCTCTTCAAGGGGAAAGGAGAGGTGCTGGTGTCCTGCTTACTGTGTCTGAATGAAAATAAAGTAGCTGTTGCAAACTTTCAAAACTTGGGATGGTCAACCATGTTTCTTTAAACTGGAGTGGGCAATGCAAACACATACTTTCCCGAGCAGTTGTGAAACACTACAGAAAAGCTAACTATTATTTAAGTAATCTGTTCCTAGAGAAAAATTCTGAGAGTCCAGTGAGAAACAGAAGCAAGGAAATACCAAATTTCTGATGCCAAAGAACACTGAAATATTTTTTTCAGAATTTCAGACCAACACTTAGTTCCAGTGTTAGGAATATCCTTATTGATGCAAAGTTATGTCTGCCTTGAACACCAGTGCTGCAAAGCTTCTATTTTAGTATGTGGTAGTCCTCTATTTAGAAGAAGAAAAAAAAAAAAAAAAAGAAAAAAAGCCTGGAAATTATGCTGTTTTCAAAATGTTTAACATTCATCAGAGCTGAGCAGTATGAGTTGACAATACCTGACTATATATTGCTTTCATCAGAACTTGTCAACCGTATGAACCATGACTGGAATAACTTTAAGCTAAACTGCTTAAATCAGTCTAAGCCTTTAGAGCAGTTTAAGATAACTAAGCCACTTAAACTCATTAGTACTAAGAGTTAAACAACATCAGCAGCATATCAGAGATCCTTTATTAAAGCCACTCTAGCACTGCAACTTTCTCAAACATGAACACTTTCAATTTTATGAACTGCTTGCAATTTTTTTTCTGTGTTGAGTGCAGCTGATGATCTGCCTTGTGATCTTGCCTGGATGATCAGTCATGATGTACTCCACAACAGAAGTCAAGTGTGAAGTTGTTGGGCTTATCCATTTTTTAATATTATACCAAGAGTAAATTTGACCAGAGAATGCAGAAAACTCTTTTGCCAGTTTTGTTCACATACCTAAAAATAGTTTATTATTTCTTGACATTATTTGTCTCTGCATATATCATTTTAAAAAAAATTTTTAAATATGTGTTGGGGAGCACAAGGTGTGAGGCTCCTGAGTTGACTTGACGTTGATATGGCTGCATTACTCATGAGTGTCAAAGTGTCAGTCAGTTGTATAGATCATTCCTAGAGCCCAATATTGTGCATTTTAGAAGAAAAACTCTTAAATGCTTTTAAATAAGTGAAGTAATGTTCAGGAATCTTATTCTAGTATGTCATCAGCAGTAACTCCATTTTCTCCTACAGAAGAAACTTACTGAGAGCACAAGCAAATATACCTTTGCTGCTCAGAGAGGAGAGGCACATGTCAGAGCAGCAGGGAAGGAAAAAACAGGAGAGGTGTCAGATATGCCAAGGTCCTGCTCTCATGCATTAGGGCCTCCATCAGCTGTCAAGAAAGTACACTAACCCAGTAGCCAAAGCTTTTTTTTTTTTTTTTTTTTTTTTTTTTTAGCCAAGCAGAAACTGGCAGTCTGCTGCCCAAGACAAAGACCTATGTTGTCTGTGCTTGCAGTAGACCTGTCTATGTAGCTGCTCTGGATCTGTGTTTATTTCAAAGACCAGCTTCTACAGCTTCTGTCAGAAGAGGAAAAACATAAATAGAACATTATATGCCCCAAAAATCCCAAATTTTGCCTTTTTTTAATGCCTCTAGTTATCGTGATAAAAGGTCTGACACCTTGCCATAACTCTTGCTTTTAGCCTCACATGTGCTCTTTATTCACAGTATATTACTGCTTTCATCAACACAAGCCAGAGGCAGAGGGAACAGGAGGAAGAAGCCTGATACAAAGAAAATACTTTGAAACTTGAAGAGGGAGAAGTCCCAGAGGAGAGAGTTTAATGAGCAAAGTCCAGAGGTGGATGTAGCTCTCAAGCCTGTCACCTTGGTGTCATTGTTTCAGAAGTATTTAGCTCTATTCTCCATACATTCTCATGCCATAGAGGGGGACTGAATACAGTCACAAGGCCAGCTTTGGTTTCTGAAGGGCTGCAGCATTCATGGTGTTATATGAATTAAGTTCCATAAAGCTTCTACGGTATTAAAAGCAAGAAAAGTAAAGAAAAGCAACATCAAAACTTCATCCTAGTCCTCACGTGACGTTTATTAATGTAGCTGGAGCATTAGCTGTTCACCAGCCTTTCACCACTTGAGATAAAGGAGAAACTAGTGGAAGGACTTCAAGTGGAAGAAAGAAGAAAGCTGTGAGCACCTAGTTTGGTAGGAATTTCAAAACTATGTGCTGAACATGAATAGAATAGCATAGTTCAGTTGGAAGGGACCTACAAAGATCATCGAATCCAACCGCCTGACCACTGCAGAGCTAACCAGAAGTTAGAGCATATAATTGAGGGCATGAGGAAGTAAAAGATTCTTAATGAAGACACTCAGCAAGAAAAATTTCAGCCTGAATAATACAATTTAGGAAGGTTGTAAGAAACTTACAGGGGGAAAAAAAAGTAGACTCTTGTAATGGAAATAATTGTGCAATCTTAATTGTGGGTAAAGATAGGGATTGCTGCCTAGGATGAGCACAGCTGAGAGGCTACATTTTCATATAAAAATGGCAGAGCTGCAACACAGCTGCAACCAAATGGTATCATATGATGCTGCATTCCTGAATAGCTTTAGCAAACATAGAATACCAAAGATTAGGAAAACCAATGTAGATTAAAAGCACAATGAAGTAAAGGTAAGTTCAGAGAACACATGTATTTTCTATACATTTTTACAGGCTGTGTGATTGCACCTTATAATTCCTGGAGCAGGGCAGGGCTATGTTTCTGCTTTTGGTGCAGAACAGATATAAAAAGTGGAGAGATTTAGTTTCTAGGTCATAATGCAAGCTGTCGCACATTCCTCTTTCTGCCTTTCAAAGGGTGATGACTCTCCAGTTTTACTGAAGTTTTTTACTAACCTCCTTTTACCTATGCATGCATAGCTCTTCAGCTGGATTAAGTAAAGGCAACGCCAGTCAGGAGAGGTCAGGATGTAGTCCTACTTATTGTCCTCTTCAGTGACTGTTTACAAATAAACTCTTATTAAGACACTTGATACAGTCTTTATCAGTTTCCACCCAAGTTACCATAGCTGCATAATTAATCAGGTCTGGGGTGTAAAATGCTTTTGAATTAATGTTTGGACTCTTTGCTACAATTTTTTCATTAAATGATTCATCTATTGATCAAACTGTGCAATTACTGTAACACTTTTCATTTCCCTAGACATGAAAATGTGGTGGATAATTGGTCAGCCCAAACATGAGTGCTGCATTTGAAATGTTAGAAATCATGTAACATCTTTTGTATGGATGCAGTAGGGTTTGAATATGTCTTTAATTTTTTCCAGTAGCTCTAAGTATGCAATGGTTCTTTGTATTTCTTGTCTTTTTCCTTCTCTCTCAAAACATATATTTCTCTTCAAAGCTTCTCATTCCAACAGACATCCTGACTGTGTTATAATGAATTAATCAATATTGTGCCTTTGCACAAAGAAAACAAGTTTTACATCTTATCTTAGATCACATCTACCTTTAGAAGTAAGATGCTAACTGAGGCTTTAATTTGCTATCTTAATTGAGCAGAACTGTTCCAAGTTCCTAGCTAGGTTCACAGCCCAGTTATTCCACAGGAGTCGCAAGTGAAGATCTAAGCTAACAAAGCAAAATTGTTTATTTTAAAGTAGGCTGTGCTCCTGTGAACATGAGCAGGAAAGGCTGATTGCTAACACAGCCCCAAAGCCTGTATAGCAAAGCAAAATAAAGCCCACTGTGGATCACAAATGGAGAGATTCAGCAAAGAGCAGCTCTCAGATTTCAGTGCCATCAAGATTAGCCTTTGAGACACTTGAAGAAGAGCAGAATAAATCCTCTTCTCTCAGTGCCTGGCCAGGGAAAGATTCGTTTCTGGTGCAATGTTTCTCTGTACCTGGGTGTACACAGATGGCTTAAAAGACCTTCTACATAATGACAGCACAGGATTTTGCTTCCTCCCCCCAGGAATATGTGACAGTGACTCTAAGAGGCCAGCAGGGTCGGTCTGAAGTGTCATAGCCTGACTCTGATCATAGAATCACAGAGTCATAGAATACCCATAAGGATTATAGAGCCCAAGTCCTGACTCTACACAGGACAACACAAAAAATAAAACTCTGTGTCTAAGAGCAGTGTTCAAACACTCCTTGAACACTGGCAGCTTGGGAGCCTGTTCTAGGGCCCATAGCTCCTGCTGGTGAAGAACATTTTCCTAACTCCCACCCCAACCTCTCCTAACACAGTTTCATGCCATTCCCTCAGGTTCTGTCAACTCTTGGAGAACTTTTCATCTGTGGTGGTTTACTGATGCCAACTGCGAAATCAAAACTATACGTGCAACAACTCAGTAGACAACTTCACCCAAGCATTAGAACTGACATATTCCTAGATCTCTTTAGGGGAAAGCTTTTTCAGTGAGATTGTGTTTTCTTGACTCAAGGATTGTCAAGTATGTGCATTTGGTTTAGTGGTCTTAGAGGATTTCTGCAAGGATGCAAGGTAACTGCAGGACACAACTCAACCTAGTATTTCATTCCTTCTATGCTCTGTCCTTCTTCAGGAAACCCGGGACACATCAAATCCTTGTGGGAGATGCTCAGAGATGCCAATGTACTGGCTTCATTCTCCCTGTGACTTGTGCATCACTGGCACTGCTGCCAGCAGCAAGCTGCTAGGTACCACCACGTTTGCTTCAGCAGTCACTGTTTTTCTCTCCAGCAAAACAGCACAACCCATCTGCATATCAGATAATCTGTCACTGCCTCTGGCTTTTTAACTACCTCATGGAGACACTCCTTTATGTGCTACTGCACAGGTCTACCCATGACTCCTGAAAACACACTGCTTTCTTTGTTCTAAACAAGTTTTTGAACTTTGGTATGTTTATACGAAAAGACAACAAAAGATACAGGACCAACTCCCTGAATATATCTAAGCCACAGCACATCGTGGGGATCAGAAAATCCTTCTTTGGCTCAACCATTCACCAAACAGCACCTACCATCAGACTCCATTTTTCACTTTCCTGCAGTTTACAGTTAAAGCAAACTCCCAGAGACTTCCACCAAGGTCCTGCCAGTGTAAGGCCATCCTTTTTCAGAGTAATCCTACAGCAATAGCAAGAAGAGATTTGATAGAAAAAAGACTAGGCTGGGATTTTCTTCCTCGAATAATTAGGTAATTTGCAATAGCATTCTCTGTGGCATTTATTAAAATGCCATGACTCAGACATAGCTGTGAGAATGCTAAGGAGCTGATTTGCTTTTCTGTTAGTAGCACTGATTTGTGTGCTTGGGATTTGCTCTTTGCAGGGTCAGAACAATTAAGAGTCTTTATCTTCACCATTTACATCTAGCCAGGTTCACTTTTTCATTACATTTTGCTATCCAGTGGAAATCCAGAAATGGAAAAGTTTTAAGTTAAAGCATACTGTTTTGAAATCAAGAAGGAAAGCATATTGGATTTTCTGTCTTTATAGAATCATAGCTAAGTTACACTAAAGTTTTGACCTTGTATTCAGGATAGTACTGTAAATGGGTGGGCACATGCATGGTCTTAGCACACAGCTGCTTTAAGTGTATTTTGAGCCTCAATGTGACACTGTGAGGTGCTGACTAGCTTGTAAGATACTGGATTAGTAGAATCAGCACTCACTTCCAGATTCAGAACCTGGGACCTGATCCTTAAAGGCACTGTTTTGCTGATGAGAACACATTTCATTTTTTAAAGCTGACACAACTTTTCTTGTATTAAAGAATGCATTTCGTCTTAGAATTTTTAGGTCAATTGTTTGGGCTCACTTAAGACTGAAACAGTCTAAAACTAAAATAATATGAGGGCTGCTCCAAAACTAATGCCTCCTATTTTATTATGTTGGTCTAGGACATCAGAGGCAGATGTTGGTGGTATGGCAGTAGAGACTGAACCTTCCCACAAATATTCCCTTACACGTTGTTGCTATGTGACAGATGGCAGCAGAGGGGCAGTCTGACAGAATGGTGTCTGACATGGGAGTGCTTATTAAGCAAAGGGGTATCACTGAATTTCTCCATGTGGAAAAAATGGCTCTCCCTGATCTTCATTGACACTTTCTAAACATTTATGGAGACTGAACAGTAGATATGAGCAGAGTGAGGCAGTGGGTGGTATGTTTCATCAGTGGTGACAGCAACAGCAGGTCACCTCCGCTGATACAGATTTTTATGAGCACAGCATGCTGGTCCTTGTTCATCACTGTTGAAAATGCACAGCTAATGGTGATGACTATGCTGACAAATAGTGTTTTGTAGATGAGGATTTGCTCTATCAAATAGTGTTAATGTGCTCTTCGTAGCTGTTGTAGTTTCCATGGAAATAAACAGGAGGTATTACTTTTGGAGCAACCGATGTATTAAACTGAAAATGCTTTGTATGGAGGAATAAAAACAACCAAAATGCAGCCACACCTAGAAAAAAGATCTTGCCAGCTCTAAGAGCTTAATTCCTTTTTTTTTTTTTTTTTTGCCATAAGAAAAGATTATGATTCTGCTCTGCCACACGCGCAGAGGAAAAAGACAGTGATTCTGGTTGGCTTACAGTATTGCTGCTGATCACAGGAGAGCATCATTTGAACTTTTCACTATTCAGGTGTCATCAAAGCACTGCGATACCATTAAGCTTTATGAACGATAAGTTGGTAACGTTTGAAGCACGGGATGGGTGTTTCCTTCTCTTTCTCTACTAGTTTCACACTGTTTCTCTGCCTTAAGATCGTGTTGCCCTGTCCTGTAGTGATCCTGCTGCCTTTCCCAGTCTTCTGCAGTCACCTGTCATGACAAACATATATCAACTGCTGTATCACCTTGTGTGTTAATATAGCCAATGGGGTTTAACCTGACAATGAAATTTCTGGGCCAGCTCCATTGGGCACTGCTGACACTTCTTCTCAGCCTGAGCACCAATGTCATGCTGTATACGCACAGTTAAGTGCCAGCCAGTTGAGGTACCCTTCCCAGCCCAAACACAAATCTTGTGGAAGTGCTGAAGTGCATCCTCCACAGCCACCTGCACAA